CCTCTGTTGCCTATGTGTCAAAGGCAGGGGGGGGGGCGTGTAACACAGTGTTAAGCAATGAGCCCAGACTCATTGATTAATCGTGTACTTGGATACACACTCACATCCCTACTGCATACTTATTATATTTCTACTAAGCCTCTTCATCCTTTCTCCTATGCTATCACTCATGTTTATGAGTTTCCTGTAAGTGCATGCAAAGCTATCTCATTGAGCTCCTTCAAACTATCCTTTGATGGGATGCTTCAAAAAGCATGACATGTAGATTGTTGGTGGTGAACCCATTGCCCAGCATGCAGACCAGATTGTCTCATTGTTCATGGCTGTATCCACCTGTCATTTCTGGATTTATAGGTTGTGAGGCAGGTTCTATGTTTTTACAGCACCTTGCAACAAGGGGATCCTAGGCAAGCATAGAGAAAAGGCTACCCATTAACAGCCTCTTTAAGTCTGAACTTGATACGAGGGTGATTTACAAGACAGAACTAGAAAGCCCTCTAAAAGAAGATTAAAGATTCCTGGGGTCATTGAGGCAAGGCAAGTGGTGCCACAGCAAACTACTGGAAATCTATGGAGACAGATGCTCCCACACCAACTTAGAAAGCTGGGCTCTAGTCCTAGTTCTGCTTTAAGCTTCCTACCTGGACACAGAAAGGGTGTTTTTCGCCTGCCCCGGCAGCGATACGAGGTCAATAAGGAAGGGCTGGGAAGCAGGTGGACATGTTAGAAGCTTGAACTCCTGAGCCCTGGCTCCGAGTCTCTGGCTACTACAAGTTAGGTGGCTGTGGGCCCCAGCAGCTGTCGGGCCCAGGGCTCCAGGGGCCCGTGTCACGCGGCTCCACTGAAGGCCCCCCCTCTACTTGGTTGCGGTTTTAGAAACTGGGAGGGAGGGAAGGCGATGGGGAAGCCGAATCTCGGGGACCCCTCGAAACGCTGCCGGGCCCTCAACCGGCCTCGTGAGGCTAAACGCTCCAGAGGCCTCGTCACGTCCGAGTCACATGATTTTCTCCCATGCGCCCAGCTAGCTGCGCACGTACGTGGGGCAATCTCCCGCTGTCGCCATTCGTGCTTCGCCCGCTAACTGCGGTCCCGCCAACTCCTCAGATTCCTTTCCGATTCAGGCGAACGCCACGAACAGCCCCGGAGCGGGTCCTCGCTGGGACCGGAAGGAGTTAATCATGCTGCCGGAAGTAATTCTGAGCAGGGCTGAACGCTAGCAACATATACTGAGTGGACCGGAAGTAGCTATAACAGACCGGAAGGGCCCCCACGCGTTCCCGGAAACGTCCCGGCACGGGGAACGGAAGAGAAGACCCCGCTCGCCGGCGAGCATTCAAGATGGCGGAGGTGGTGAGTGGGATGTGTAGGGTGGGGTCCGGCGGGGGGATTCCTGTGGGTTCCTGTTTAACTGTTCTGCATCCCGCCCGCAGGGAGAGGTGACCGAGGGCTGCTGGCTGCCCCTGCTGCGTCGCAACCAGGATAACGAAGATGAATGGCGTAAGTGAGGGGGTGGGGCTAAATGATGGGGGTGGGATCTAAAGAGGAGGGGCTAGAGGGTATATAAGAGGCACGGGGGATATCTTGGGAGACGTAGGGACATGGGGCCGTGTGGAAAGGGAGGACGGGCGGGAGTCTCAGAAGGCTAATGAAGAGACCAGTGTATAGGAGGAAATGGGCCCAATGCAGAGGATAGAAGAATCGGCCAATGGGGGACCTCAGTTGGAAAAAGGGATCGAGGAACGCAGGAGAGGCCCCCGCTCGCCGGCGAGCATTCAAGATGGCGGAGGTGGTGAGTGGGATGTGTAGGGTGGGGTCCGGCGGGGGGATTCCTGTGGGTTCCTGTTTAACTGTTCTGCATCCCGCCCGCAGGGAGAGGTGACCGAGGGCTGCCGGCTGCCCGTGCTGCGTCGCAACCAGGATAACGAAGATGAATGGCGTAAGTGAGGGGGTGGGGCTAAATGATGGGGGTGGGATCTAAAGAGGAGGGGCTAGAGGGTATATAAGAGGCACGGGGGATATCTTGGGAGACGTAGGGACATGGGGCCGTGTGGAAAGGGAGGACGGGCGGGAGTCTCAGAAGGCTAATGAAGAGACCAGTGTATAGGAGGAAATGGGCCCAATGCAGAGGATAGAAGAATCGGCCAATGGGGGACCTCAGTTGGAAAAAGGGATAAGGCTGCATCATTTATGAAAGGGGGAAACAGGGAATGTGAGGGGGGCAGTAAGCAAGTGGAGCTGGGCATCTCTTTCCTTTTAGAGGCTTTGAACCCAGATTGTAGGAATGATTGGTCATCTCTAGTGCTTGCCATGCTTTTGGGATGCATCTTAGGTTCCCTAGGGAGGGAAATGTTAGCCTGTCATTTTGGAACTGCCAACTCATCTCCTGGTTAAAGGGAGTGCCCCAAAGCTGTGGGATAATCCCTTCCATTTCAGGTCATGGTCAAGGATCCCAGGGCAGCATTTGAAGGCGAGAGCTGTCACACTCTGGGTGGGAGAGACTCTGGATCAGTGTTTCTCAACCTTTTTTTGTATAAGGTAGCCCCTTAAAAAAAAAAAAAAAAAAAAACCATAAGTACCTTGAGTACCTACAGTTTTCAGACATGCAATGTTTTCTACCATTGCAACACATTTGTTTAAATAATTTAATCGTAGCTAAGCTGGCGATGAAATTTTTGGGTGTAAAAAATACAAAAATAATAAAGTGCTGTAAAACTTTTTTAAAAAATCAGTTTTCTCCAAATTTCAGTTGTTGATCTACCCCCAAACTTCTCTTGAGTACCTCTGAGGATACTTGTACCACCGATTGAGAAACACTGTTCTGGATAATACCCAGGGCACTGCCCCAGAATCAGAATGATCTCCGGTATCTATATAACTGTATTGAGGATCAAGTTTGGCCTTGGTGTGGACACATGTTGCAGGGATGTGCTGATCTGCGAGTGTGGCCCTTGGTACCTACAAATATAAAGGTACATTTTTGTGCATTTTTCTCTCCCAGTATATCTCTCAAATATACTTGGGGAGTGAGCTCTTGTGAGCAAGGATTTTTTCTCACTCTGCAGTGCTAGGCACAGAGGAGAGACCTCCTGACCCAGAAAATGTTGGTTCTACTGAAACACTGCCAGAGTTGGAGAAAAAATCTCTAGTATGAAAAATGCCTCATTCTAGTGCAAACATCATGTATTTTTCTATACACACTTTATTGAAATAATAATCTCTCATATGTCTATATTGTCACCCTCCCAAGTTCTGCAGAGATTTCACCTGCTAGATTTGGTAGAGGGTATTCTTAATTTATACTCTTCAAAGTGTTCCCACTTAAACAATACCACAGCCATAGGAATTAATTGCCACACTAGATCAGACCTGGGTTACATGCAGCTGAGTGTTTCAGTGGAACGTGTAAAAACTTTTACATTGTTTTGGAATAACCTGATAGGAGGTGGGTTCCCCCAATACTTAGAAGATAGCTTAACTTTTGAAATGGGAGGTTTCCAAAACTCCTGTTCTTTTTTTCGGGTTGACCCTCGATGGTCTCCTCCTTATGAGCTTCCAGTCTCCTTTGAGATCCTGCACTTAACTGTGTCAAGTGCCAGTGAGTTCCAGAGGCTGGTGGTGTATTACATGAAAAAGAATGTTGTTTGATTGGTTTTGAAGTGTTCTTGAAATTTTCATTGCAGTTATGCTACAAGACATGGAAATGATGTGCCCATCCCCATTCTCTATCCCTGTCATTTTTCTATATACTTTTATCATGTGTCATTTCTTCATCTGCTCTGTAAACCAGACAATCCCAATAACTTATTTTTCTAGGAGAGTATTACATGAAAAAGAATGTTGTTTGATTGGTTTTGAAGTGTTCTTGAAATTTTCATTGCAGTTATGCTACAAGACATGGAAATGATGTGCCCATCCCCATTCTCTATCCCTGTCATTTTTCTATATACTTTTATCATGTGTCATTTCTTCATCTGCTCTGTAAACCAGACAATCCCAATAACTTATTTTTCTAGGAGAGTTCCTCTTCCCCCATCCCCACCCTGGTGCCGTCTCTGAATCGTGGACCCCCCC